ATTATTCTTCCTATGATATAGGATACTGCAAAAAGTGCTCCAGTTTGAGTTCTATTGCAAGGGCTTTTTTATTATGCTTCCTAGGTCAAGAGAATCATCAGCCAAGATCACTTGGAAATTTTGTTTCTGAGCAGATATTTCCCAATTAGAAAATGACTTTTTTTTTGTAACTGTCTCAGTGTCTCACCTAGACTCCTATGGAGATAAGAAATTATTGATTGTTTTATTGAGCCAAATTTTACATTACTATAAATGACTTTAGCAATTTTTACACTTTAGTACTTTCCCTCTTTAAATGAAAAGATATGATAATCAAGAGTGACCTGGAGATCATGAAATGCCATTAATTGTGCACTTTTAAGTAGAAGTAACTTATGCACTATATGAGCTCTATAAATTGAGAGATTGGAAAGTAAAAGGAGAAAACTAAAGATGTAATTTGAGATGTTTCAAGTAAGCCTATGGCTCTTAATAAACTTTTAAAAGTCATGATCCTAAATATGCCAATTGACCACATAAAGTTTCAGCTTAAGGGAAATGTATTTATAATAAGATTCTGTATTCACCTCTAGTGTAGAATTTCTAAATACTGCTATTGTCCTTCTTATGTGACCTCAAGTTGAGTACTACTCAGAGTGACTGTGAAAAACAGAATGAAACCTCACTCTGTCCTACACCATCTTCACAGTCTCTGCCATGATCAAGGCCAGTGATGCAGTCACAACGTCAGTCCATCTCCTTGAAGATCTTCCTTTACTTTGCTGGCCTTCAACTTTTCCAAACATAATGTCTTTATTCAAGGAATAATGTCTCCTGACACCACACAAATATGAGAGATGAAGTTTCATCATATTTGCCTATAAGAAGCACCCTTGTACCACATCTTTCTAGTCAGACTTGTTTGTTCTTCTGGCCAACTGCCTTTACTGAAAAAGAGGGGCAAGAGGGAGCAGAAACACCATCAAAGTCCTTGCCTTTGGGCCAGAAAATGTGTAGCTGAGCCTCCACTGTTTTTCTAAGCCAGTAAATTGCATGGAAGATATGCATATTTCTCCTGCAAGGTAACTGGTAGATTATCTGTTAGATCTACTTAACATTATCAACAATAACTCTTGTTGGAAGGCCTCACTGAATTCAGCTTGAATTTCTGACAGGTCCCTGTTGGTGTACTCCTCCAAACAGTTTTTGGTAGTCTTCATCAAAATTTTATGTGAGTCACTGTATTGGAAGGAATTGGCAGACACAGAAGAATTTCATGAAACAACATATGAGCAAGAGCCTATGGTGATGAAGGAAGAAGTTCAGGCTGCTTTGAAGGAAATAGTGAAAAATAAGGCCCCAATTGATGGTATACCAATTGACATATTTCAGCTAACAGATGCTGCCCTAGACGTGCTCACCAAGTTGTGCCAAGAAATCTGGAGAACAACCACTTGGCCAACTGACTGGGAGAGATCTATATTTGTTCCCATCTCAAAGAAGGGTGACCCAACAGAGTGTGGAAACTATAGAACAATATCGTTGATTTCCCATGCAAGCAAGATTCTACTAAAGATTATCCAAAAACGACTGGAACAACACATCAGCAGAGAACTGCCAGAAGTCCAGGATGGGTTTAGAAAGGGTCATGGTACTAGGGATATTGTAGCTAATGTTAGATGGATCTTGGCTGAAAGCAGGGAGTACCAGAGGAATGTCTACCTGTGTTTCATTGACTATGCAAAGGCGTGTTTGACTGTGTGGACCATAACAAACTGTGGCTGACTCTGAGAAGAATGGGGATCCCAGGATACTTGATCATGCTAATGAGAAACCTATACTTGGACCAAGAGGCAGTCATCAGAACAAAGCAGGGAAACTGCATGGTTCAAAATTGGGAAGGGTGTACGCCAGGGATGTGTCCTGTCTCCCTAGCTTTTCAACCTGTACGCAGAATAGATTATCTGGGAGGCTGGTCTCTATGAGGAGAAATATGGTGTCAGGATTGGTGGAAGATCGATCAACAATCTGTGTTATGCAGATGACACAACCCTGCTTGCTGAAACTGAGGAGGACCTGAAGTGCTTGCTACATAGGATCAAGGACTGCAGCCTTCAATATGGATTGAGGCTCAATGTCAAGAAGACAAATATTCTAACCACTGGGCCAATTGGCTGCATCAGATGGATAGTGAAGAGATTGAGATTGTTCACAGCTTTAGTTTGCTTGGCTCCACGGTCAACACTCTTGGCACTAGTAGCCAGGAAACTAAAAGATGTATTGCGATGGGAAAGTCTGCTGTTATGGATCTTTCCAAAGTTCTGAAGAGCAATGGTGTCTCTCTGGAAACTAGGGTGCATCTAATACAGGCCATGGTCTTTGCAATCACTTGTTATGCATCAGAGAGTTGGACAATGACTAAGGAGGATAGAAGAATTGATGTCTTTGAGCTGCAGTGTTGGAGAAGAGTATTGAGGGTACCAGGGACTGCTAGGAAAACAAGCAGATTCATCCTTGAAAGGGTTAAACCGGGCTGCTCCTTGGAGGCAAGGATTCTGAGGCTTCGTCTAACATAATTTGAACATGTTGTAAGGAGGGACCACTCCTTGGAGAGAGAGATCATCCTTGGGAGGGTAGAGGGACAGTACAGGAGAGGAAGGCCCTCTATGAGGTGGATTGATTCAGTGACTTGGGTAACCGGGATGGGTGTGTTGGAGACAGTGCAATTGGCACAAGACAGAGCAGAGTTTAGGCTCTTGTGCATAGGGTCGCTATGAGTTGCAAACGACTTGACGGCACATAACAACAACAACAATATTAATGATACTTTTTATAATTTTTACATTCTCTTGAATTACCTTTTTTCCTCCAGGCCATAAATATGGATTCTTCCAGTTGTCAGCCAGGTAGCTGTCTTCTATATTTGTTGGCACCAGTCAGTAAGTATATCCAGCGCTACTTCTAATTGCTGAAACACCTCAATTGATATTCTGTCAATTCTTAAGCTTTATTTTGTTTGTCAATGCTTTCAGCACATTTAGACTTCTTTCTTCTGTATCATATACTAGTACTTCCTGAAATTGTGAAGTAATAATCAATTGTTTTTGGTACAGCAACTTTGAGTCGAGGGTCTTCCTCTCCTTTGCCGACCCTCTACTTTTCCAAGCATCATTTTCCTCTCTAAGGAATAGCCCCTCTTAGAAACATGCCTGAAATTTGTGAGATCAAGACTTTTCATCCCTGCCTCCAAAGAAGACTGGCTGCACTTTCTCCAAGACATATCTGTTCATTCTCTTGGCTGTCCATGTGATGTTCAGTGCTCTTCTCCAACACCACAGCTCAAAGGCATCAATTATTCTTCTGTCATTCTTATTCATTGTCCAGCTCTCTGATGTATAACAAGTGATCAGAAAGACCATGGCCTGAGTCAGACACACCTTAGGCCTCAAACTGACATCATTACTCCTCAGTAACTTGGAGAGGTCCCTTATTGCAGACTTTTCTAGTGCAATACAGTTCCTAATTTCCTGACTGCTGGCACCACAATTATGGATCCAAGTAAGATGAAGTTGACAACTCAATTGTTAGAAAAGGATTGAAGCCGAAATGCAACACCCTTAATTCCATCACAGCCATGACCAGACACAAGGGAGTGCTGCTGGGGGCGGGGGGGTCCTGAAAGTGAGCACAGAGAGGTGCCCAATGGGACTGAAGAGAAGGAATGGAGGGCTTCTTTGGATGCAGATCCTGGAGCTGGCAAGCTCCTCCACACAGAAAAAGGTCAAGACACATGATTCCCATGGAAACCAGACCTGCAGATGTGGAAGAAAACAGGATCTTTCTCCTGAAGCGATAGAAAGAGAAATCTTCCCCTGAGTGCTGGCACTGAATTTTGACTTCGAGTTAAAAAAAAAAAGGCAGAGAATGAGCTTCTATTTATTAAACCCATCCATTTGTGATCTCTTTCAGCAGGACTAGATGGCTAAGACAGTAATTTTCTGGTGTTTTCTAATTATAAGAATGCTTTACAAGCTTAATTTATTTCACTTATCAAGTTTAGTAAGGAATGATGCTTAAAATTAAAGTAACAGTACATAAAATATAAGTAGGTCACACATGAGCCAGTTACATGCATTCTGAAATTATATCAAAATGCTCTTTTATATTACTCTTCCAAATCTTAACTTTAAAAGCCTCAAATTCTATTATATTTGTATGCTTTGCTATGCAATTTTGTAAGCTTAATACTATGTACTTTTACTATTTTAATGCTGTTTACTTAGTGATGCTGTTTTCTTGTCCTGCTTTAACTGTGGACTTGGTAAATGCCAGTAGTAGTCTATACAATCAAGCAAATTCCCAGGTGCCAGTTTAATAAGGGTAAAGGTTAGAGATTATATCAGTTTTCCAGGAGTTTGGGTAATAAATTCTGACAAATAAAACTGGGTCCAGAATCAATCTTTATTGCTTAAGGAATTTCACTATTGAGATGGTTGTCACTGGACAGATTTTCCCAGAAATGCACAAACATTGAGAACTTGCATGTATGACTTTGAATCTATATGACCCCAAACTCCACTGATGACATTTACACATTGTATCTCTTAACTTAGAATGGATGACTAAGAAGACTAGTTGCAAGATATAATCTTTTTGTAAAGAATCCTAACATTTTTCGTCTCTCAGTAAACACACACTGATAGATAACCTCTAGATATTTATTGAAATTTAAGGACCTTTATAAATCCTACTTGAGTGCTTTCTATTCAACAATTTGCTAATGATAAAAAATATTCATAGAGTGCTAGGAGTTACCCAGAGAATTAAAATGAGAAGATCTTTCCATTTTTCATACAGCACCTGCCTTCTCAAAGTAATACATTGCTATCTACACAGACCTTTGGGCTTTTACAATGATCATGAGAGACTCTCGTTCACTTCTCAAGTCAGAGCTTAGCATTACATTTTTTTTTAACCAGAAATAGAATTTTTTTTTAAAAAAAAAACACAACAAAACAAACCTAGGAGTATTGTTTAACTTCTTCATAGCAAGCAGGAGAACAGACATGAAACATTATAGGAAGCTGTATTGCTCCAAAAATATCACAGGACCGGATAATACGCAAACCTTCACCAAACATGGGACCCCAACACCACTCACAATGAGAAGTCCTGCAATGAAGGGAAACATCAAGTCACTGTTTAGGAAATGTCCACAAACACTAAATAATAAATACTGCATTTAATGTGCTACAAGACTCCAAATAATGCAAATAGACCTTTATTTTGGCTGACCTCTCACCATTCAAACAAGAACCAAGACATTCTCAAAGAAGAAATTAAATGCTAAAAGAATACAACAATAAAATATATGCATTATACTACCCTGTTATTAGTGGTATGTACCATAGAGTCAGAACCAACCCATAGCTGACTCTCCAGCAGATTTTCAGAGGCAGGTAATAGCAAGGAAGGAATTTATCCATCCTTCTCCAGTGGAGCAGCTGGTGGCCTTGAACTGTGTGCCTTAAGGATTGTAGTACAGATTCTTGCTGCTAGGCCACCAGAGTGGGGTGTGTGTGTAAACATTTATAGTTTTCTATAAATTTGTAAATATTTTGATATATTTCTAGTCTTCTAAAACATTTATATACATAAATAATTTATATATAATCAGTCAGGAAGAGATTGCCTATTTTTCTTCTCCAGAGCAACTTGAGAATCCCAGGAACTGCCTGCCTTTGGGTTGATGGCACAACTCCTTAACTGCTAGGCCACCAACACTCCAGGCTGTAAATTGTATAAGAGGAGATTGTCATTCTCTCTCTAAGCAGCTGGTGGGGAGACACACACACACACACACACACACACACATATGGCTTAATGGTAAGGAATTATGCTACCAAAGAAAAGGCACACAGTTCAAATCCACCAGCTGCTACCCCAGAGAAAGATGGGCAATCTCCTCTTGTGCAATTTACTGCTTATGAAAACTCACTGGGGGGTCAGCTACCAGTTGATTCTGACTTGAAGGTACTCAACAACAAACATGTGTATGTGTATGTGTATGTGTATGTGTATGTGTATGTGTATGTGTATGTGTATATGTATGCACTGCTGGTGGTCCAGTGTTAAGCAGCCACACAGCCAAAGGCATGTGGTTCAAATTTACCAACTTCTTCTTGCACTGCCAAAAGAACAAACAAATTTGTCTGGGAAGAAGTGCTACTTAGAGGTAAAGATAGTAAAACTTCCTCTCACATACTTTGGGCATGTTCTTGGAAGGGCTAGTTCTTGGAAAGAGGCATCAGGCTGGGAAACGTAGTTGTTGTTAGGTGCCATGGAGTCAGCTAAGATTCATAGCAAAAGTAAAAGAGAGGAAGACCCTCAAAGAAGTGGACTAACCTTATGACTACAACAACAGGCTTGAGCCAGACAGAGATCAAGAAGATGGTATAAAGCAAGGCCAAGTTTTATCTATTGTTCACAGTGTTGCTATGCATTGTAGCCAACTCAGTGACACCTACTAACAACAACAAAGGATAAACGTTTTGAAACCACTTTGATAGCAGATTCGAGTAAAATTAAATCCTTGACCTGTTCAACATTTTCTCCATGTTTTCTGATGTTGCCTATTGGTATAGTTTTGAGGAATTTTGTTTTCTTGATGTTGAAGCATAACCCATATTGAAGGCCATAGTCTGAGCTTCTTAAGTAAATGCTTCGAGTTCTTGTCACTCTCTGTATCCTGTTCGTGATATAGATTACTGGCGAGTCTTCCTCAAATCCTGATGTATATTGGTCAAATTCTCAAATTCATTTGCTCAGCATATATTTTGAAAGGTGCACACCTTTCCTGATTTTAAACTGTGCAGTATCCCCTTGTTTTGTTTTATTGACTTCTTGATCTATGCACTGCTTTTGCAAGAGCACAATTAATACCTAAGTAATAGCTTCAGAATATTGGAAAATGAGGCTCAGTTGAGACTACATTTTTGTTATTATGAGAAACCAGTGGAGCACTTGGGGACTTGAGTCAATGTATTAACAATAACACTGTCATTTGGGTCTGTAATAAAGAATATTTTAAATATTTTTAAATGCCTACAATTGTATTTTGTGTAAAAGTACAAAAAGGGTTTAAGATTTGCTCACCTTTGTAATACATTTTTTATTTTTTCTGGGATCACATCATAATATTGAAATAGGTTATTTTTTATAAAGAACAAAGAAGCTATGTGAACAAGACACTGTGGACTATTGCAAGAATTCTCTTTCCAAAAAAAAGGATGAGTGTAATTATTCTCAAATTGGATTTTTTTCAGGTTCAACTTCAAAATTCCAGGTGGGAAAGAAGTCAGATCATTTCCATCCACATTTAGCTTTTCAAGGGATCTGCACAGAAAGGAAACTATATTTTAAAACAGATTCATGCAGTTTACAATATTAAAATGAAATTCTGATCCAGAGTTAGTGGAAAACTATCAAATTTGATAGCAGTAAAATATGTAACAATAACAAATACAATAACAATAACAAAATATGCATTTAAGTATTTTCTATAAAGTAAGACTTTATTTCTAAAACAAGCAAGCCATGTAAAACTATGGAATTAAGTACATTTATGTGCATAATGAATTTAAAACATGTGTTCTGGATCTTTGCAATATGTCTTATCATTATGGAACAAGAAATAATATCCCAAAACACCCTGAGATAATAAATATCACATTACACACTAAACGATGCTGGAATGGACTCATAGCTGACCCTCCATCAGGTTTTAAATTGCATGGAAGGAGATTGCCCATCTTTCTCTAATGGTACAGCTGGTGGATTTGAACTGCATGTCTTTGGGTTGGTAGCACAACCTCTTACCATTAGACCACCAGAGCTCTCTTAACATATGATACAGGTGTATTTTTGCTTCTATTTGAGGCCAAGTAGATTCTAACTCTTGATGACCCTGTTTGTTCAGAGCAGAACTTGTCCTTAGGGTTTTCAATACTGTAAACTGTAGGAAGAATATTGTCAGACCTTCTGCCATGGTACAACTGGATGAGTTTGAACTGCCAACTGAGTTAATAGTTGAACACTTAATCATTTGTATCATTCAAGTGTTTGTTGTTGTTGCTATGTGCCATTGAGTTCACTGTACAACAGCCCTAAACCCTCCTCTATCCTGTGCCAATCTCACAGTCTCTGATACACCCAGCCTGATTACCCCAGTCACTGAATCAATCCACCTTATAGAGGATCTTTCTCTCCTGCACTGTCCCTCCACCCTCCCAAGCATGACATCCTTTTCCAAGGATTGGTCCCTTCTTGCAATATGTCCAAAGTATGTCAGACAAAGTTTCAGAATCCTTGCTTCCAAGGAGAAGCCGGGTTTAATCCTCTCTAGGATGAACCCGTTTGTTTTCTTACCAGTCCATGGTATATTCAATACTCTTCTCCAACACCGCAGCTCAAAGGCATCAGTTTTCCTTCTATCCTCCCTAGTCATTGTCCAGCTCTCTGATACATAGCAAGTAATTGCAAAGACTATGACCTGTATCAGGCACAACTTCGCCTCCAGAGTGACATCATTGCTCTTCAGTACTTTGGAGAGGTCTCTAACAGCAGACTTTCCCATTGCAATATGTCTTTGAATTTCCTGGCTACTGGTGGCAAGAGTGTTGATTGTGGAGCCAAGCAAACTAAAGCTGTGAGCAATCTCAATCTCTTCACCATCCATCCTGATGCTGCCAATTGGCTCAGTCGTGAGAATCTATTTTCTTGATATTGAGCCTCCATCCATATTGAAGGCTGCAGTCCTTGACCTTCTGCAGCAAACCCTTCAGGTCCTCCTCAGTTTCAGCAAACAGGGTTGCGTCATCTGCATAATGCAGATTGTGGATGAATCTTCCTCCAATCCTGATGCCACACTTCTCCTCATACAGCCGAGCCTCTCAGATAATCTGTTCTGCATATACGTTGAAAAGATATCGAGATAGGACACATCCCTGATGTACACTCTTCCCAAGTTTGAACCATGCAGTGTTTCCTTGCTTTGTTCTAATGATTGCCTCCTTGTCCAAGTATGGTTTTCACATTAGCACGATCAAGTGCTCTGAAATTCCAATTCTCAGAGTCAGCCACAGTTTGTTATGATCCACAAAGTCAAATGCATTTGCATAATCAATGAAACACAGGTAAACATTCCTCTGGTACTCCATGCTTTCAGCCAAGATCCATCTAACATTAGCTACAATATCCCTAGTACTATGAGTCCTTCTAAACTCAGCCTGCACTTCTAGCAGTTCTCTGTTGATGTGCTTTTCCAGTCAGGTGTGAGGCCTTGACCACCAATGAGCAAAGACCAGATGAGTTGTGGGAGGATATCAAGAGTATCTATCATCCAGGAAGAGTGCAAAACATCATTACAAAGACAGACGCGGAAGATAAAACCAAAATGGATGTCAGAAGAGACTCTGAATATTGCGCTAGAGCACCGAGAAGCCAAAGCAGAGGGAAGAAGTCAAGATATTAAAGAGCTGAACAGAAGATTTCAAAAGGCAGTGCAGGAAGCCACTCTGCCAAAGGACCTCTCCAAGGACCAGTGCAGGAAGACAAAGTAAAATATTATAATGAAATGTGCAAGGAGCTGGAGTCAGAAAATCAAAAGGACCAAACTCACTCAGTATTTCTTAAGCTCAAGGAACTGAAAAACAAATTCAAACCTTGAGTTGCTATACTTAAGGATGCTTTGGGCAGAATATTAAATGATCCAGGAATTATTAAAAGAAGATAAAAAGAGTATACAGAGTCACTGTACTGAATGAAAGGATTTGGCAGACACAGAAGAATTTAATGGAAGAACGTATGAGCACGAGCCTATGGTGATGAAGGAAGAAGTTCAAGCTGCTTTGAAGGAAATGGAAAAAAAGGGCTCCAGGAATAGATGGTATACCAATTGATGTATTTCAACTAATAGATGCTGCCCTAGATGTGCTCACTAAGTTGTGTCCAGAAATCTGGAGGACAACCACTTGGCCAACTGACTGGAAGAAATGTATATTTGTTCCCATTTCAAAGAAAGGTGATCCAGAGTGTGGAAATTATTGAACAATCTCATTGATATTGATATCACATGTAAG